TATAAACAGCGCCCTCCAGTGACGAAGCACTTCCGTGATGAAGGCCGTGCAAAGCACTCTGGTGCAAAGTGTCGATTTCGTATTGATTTAAAATCGTGTTTTTAAATATATTTTACTATAAATGACGAACGACAAAACAGTCAATCACAGTTGTTGATTTTCAGCCATAAATATTATTTTGACTTCACAGAAGCGCTCCGTCACCAGAGGGCGCGATTGAAAATAATAAAAGTCACGCGCCTCGCTAGTATTTTTTATGTTTATGTGTTGTTGTCATCAAACGAGCGACAGATGACGTCAGTACAACTGTACTCAGCGAATTGTAGCTAAATGTCATGTGATTATATGACCCGGTCTCATAGGCGTGTGTAGTCACGACAACATCGTGGATTAAAACGACTACCATCAAATGGTTTCATGAATGGGTGTTTTATTCCTCGTACACTAAATAATGCCATTTAAAACCCTCACAATAGAGACCACTGTATTTTATTGAATTTACCTTCTACTAAAGAATAATAAAAGTTGTATTGAACAATGTGTATTGGACATTCTCGTCTTTATCATACCGTCACCGTTAGATCTGCTCATTGAGACCGCTTATACGTAACAATATATTCACGATATTACCGTGTACATCAAACCATGTCGAATCCACGATGTTATTTTGATATTTCCATCGGAAGAATGGCAGTGGGTCGAATTATCTTCGAGGTAAGATGACAAGTTTTAAAATGTAACTGGGGCTTTATTTTGATGGATATCCTAAGAGTGGAAAGTTCATGATATCTTTTTTCTCGATTTATTTTGCCATATTTTGTCCATTCTTACTATACCATTATTAGGCTGTGTTGTATTACGTTGTATTACGTTGTATTGTGTTGTGTTGTGTTACGTTGTATTGTGTTGTATTACGTTGTATTACGTTATGTTGTGTTGTATTACGTTGTGTTATGTTGTATGACGCTGTATTGTGTTCTATTACGTTGTGTTATAAAACAATTATTTACATTTATTTATAAAAACAGATTTGTTCACCATACACCATACGATTACACTTTACTTTACTACACGAGATTTAATCACCTGACAAATGACAGTGTCTAGGCAACACTTCTTCCTATAAAACATAAAATCCGGCCTGTAAACCCCCATTTATGAACTCTTCAAAATACACAGCCATGATGCTAAGTCGTGTTCATTTCAGCTAAGCATTTTCTGTCACGTGACCTTATTGACATCTATATTGTCTGTCGTGGTTATTGTCTGTACGAACGCTCGCAAAGAATACGTAATATAGTTTGCAAAATATAGGATATCTGACACGAGTGACAATATATATCATGCTTATCGACACTTTGTAACAACCTAATAAATCGGAATACTTATGATGAGAAATTTTCTGCCTCCGGGTTATGTAGTGGTGACACATATATAAGTGATTTGAAAAATTATTTGAGCTTAAATTCTGAAATTTGCAAAATTTATAACATAAATACAATAATACGTGATTATATGGGGACGAGAATTTCTGCTATGACATATATACATTAATTATCATAACTAATTATTTTAGTTATTAATTAAGACGTTTACACTTGAAAACAGTGTATTATTAACTTTCTTCACCTCTTGTCGGGACTCATTAACAATTATCTAAAATTGACGAGAGTTATTGCATCTTTCAGTCGTTTTTGAAAACCACAAGCAGCATTTTGAACACTTTATATTCTCACCTCTTTTATAATACATGTATATTTGGGATGGTATTTGACATAAACAGTAGTTAATTAATCAGCCTACCCGTTAAAAGTTACAAACGTATATCGCGTACAAGTAAACATCAATACACATATGAAATGTTCGAATGCTAAAATTCAATTTTTTTTTCATTCTCTACGACAGCTGCGGGCAGACGTGGTTCCCAAAACTGCGGGTAAGCACACTTTTTCATTCTCTACGACAGCTGCGGGCAGACGTGGTTCCCAAAACTGCGGGTAAGCACACTTTAAACACTTTTATGTAAGGAAAATTTAAAGGGGCGTGCCCTTTGAAATCATCGTTGCTCATACACACATATCTCACAGTACAAAGCGGCAATGACGTCACTGTAAATGTGTACCCCCTAACCTAACATCCCGTATTCGCCCCTGTAATATGTTGGCAAAACAATGAACATAGTGTTGACTGAACCCCAGGAACCCAATGCCTGAAGAGGGCGCACTCCAAGCGGACTTAGTGGCGGCGGGCAGTTAACTATTTTCCATGTACTTCCGTCTGCGCACAGTTACTAGTAACCATGGTCTACGTAAGTGGAGAATTTGATCTTATCACTAAAATCTATCACATTCTGTTGTTTCAAAAATGTAATTTTTGGAACAATTTCCGTAGGAACCCATGGTAACGCATTATTTCGCATTAAATACATTGTCTTCCCAATAATTCCAAGTAAACATTATGCTAAAACCATCAACAAACAAACAAACAAACAAATTATAGGCTTGTACAATAACATATTTCACAAATAAAACAACAAATATTATATATTATATATTAGAATTGCTTTCTAAAAAATACGACTACATTATTTTTAAAACTGTTAAAATTGTTAAACATATCAATTGTGTAATGTTTTGACATTGTATTAAAAAGAAAGTACACAAGGAAAATATGAATATTTTCTTTCATTTTCTCATCGACATTTTGGGATATAGAAAAACGAGCAATAGGAAATAGGAGCAATCGTAATACGAATGAGGGAATGTGTGCACAAATACAAGTAAAGAATTTTTCGACGTATTTCCGAAAAAAGGTAATTTGAGAAGATTACAAAGTGGTACATGATCTTTTGAAGAATATAGCAATTTTGACCTTGTACATAAACATTTGATATTTTTTCGGAATTCGTTCAATTTTATTATGATAAGAAATGTTTGAGAAGGGGAGACCACATCTGAGAACTGTACTCAAAGTTTCTTCTCACTAATGTTATATAAAGTTTTAATAAGGTGGACACTATAGAAAACCTAACATTTTAAAAGCTTTGCTTACACAAGTGTTCATAGATTTCTGAAATGTAGTTTACTCGTTAATAAAACACCTATATATTCGTGAATCTTCTAACAACAAACTTACGAATTGCTTTATATGTGTACTTTTTTAATGGAATTACGGTTAATGCTAAAAGCTGTGAAATAATACTTATTTATTTATTTTTAATAATAATAATTACATAAGATATGTTTATCACATGTAACAGAATGTTTAGAAATGTTGAGACAATTTCACCATAGAAACCAATGGTAAATTGCGCAAAAATCACCATTTTCATTGATGATTGGACTGTTTGATTTGTGTACTAGTTCGGTGTCAAAATATTTTTATCTGGGTTTTGTAAACATAAGAGTAAACGAAATAATAGAGTATTACTACTATGAAATATTACTACTATTTCGTAATAAAAGTCAAGGGAATATATATATTTTTAGTGGAAAAAAAAAACTACTGAAGTTGTTTTTTTGATATCGCATCCTGAACAAGAAAGACGCGCGCCTCACATCTCTGTGTATAAGAACTACGTACAAATAATTCGAAGCGCATGCGCACTGGACTGTTCGGCCATCACCCATAACTTTAATCCTAATCCTGCCCCTCCAGTCTTTCCCCCATTTTGATTGTATATGCCCCTCTACAGGACATGTATCTGGAGGGGCATATACGATTTACATATTAGGGAGCTGGAATGTTAGGATTAGTGTTTAAGGAGAAGGCCTCAAAAAATTCTTTCCGAATGTATAATAATATATATAATTCCAAATACAGCCGTTTGATGCCAAAATAACCGTTTTACGATAAGTATATTCCGACACACAGTTTTTGAGTTAGTGTCATAGGGGCGCAATAGCAAACTCCCCAGTAAACTAAATATATGTATTAAATAAATGTATCGTTTTTGTTAGTGATATTTATTTAGTTTGTTTATCTTCTAGAAAATTTTCGAGCCCTTTGTACAGGAGAAAAAGGCTTGACATATAAAGGAAGCGCTTTTCATCGTGTGATACCAGGTTTTGTTTGCCAAGGAGGCGATGTTACTGGTGGCTCAGGGGGGAAAAGCATATATGAAGGAGGGATTTTCGACGACGAAAATTTCGAATTAAAACACATTGGGCCAGGTAAATAAAATAATATTATCTTCTCATTTTGTTACACAGACATATGTGCACAGAATTTTTTTTTTAATCTCTAACCCAACACGATTCATCGGTAAATTTCTGTTCGGTGATATGAATATACCTTATCACAAACTTAAAGCGCGGTGGTCGTCGCGCAGCGCGTGTTCGAATTTCATGTAAATAAACAATGTATTTTACACGCATTGTATACGTCGCTATGAGTCCCACATCGAAAAGGACGCGGCACGACGACTGCCGCTCTTTAAGTTAAAATTCGAATTTTGAACATTACGTACTGTCTACGTTTGTTGTGTTTAATGCGTACCATAATTAAAAAAAATGCATGACGCGAATTACTGTAGTAAAGAATAAATTAGTCTATAAACAACGAAATATGGCCAGGTTGTGATCAGCATCTCCTGCGAACGCCGATACAAAAAGTGCTTCGAATAATATTTTGACGATTGAATACACTTAAATCGAAGGATGACTTGAAAGATATCCGATATTTTCTCTTTCAGGTGTATTGTCAATGGCCAATGTTGGAGCGAACACAAACGGGTCACAGTTTTTCATTTGCACAAATATTCTGGACCAGTAAGTACTGCTAGATTCAATAGATACAAAAAAACTTCGATTAGTGTAGTATGCCATAAATCTGACAGCGTAGCGTCATACAATGTAGTGTCATAACTCTGACAATGTGACGTCACATCACGTAGTGTCATAACTATGTGACAATGTGACGTCATATGTTGTATTATATCGGTAACTGGTAGTTTGACGTCATATTATGCAATTTATGATAACACTCACAGTTACATTATCGTCATTACACGAAGATACCTCAAATTATACACGAAAACATTTCAGCGGCAGTTTCAACAGAGACGTAGCGGAGGTAGATTCGACAGCGTACTGTCTGAGTGCATATTTTGCGCTATCCTCGTAATAATCTTATCATTATACATATTTGCGAACCAACCTCTTGATATAGAAATCCCAGAGCTAAACAAAATGATGAAAACTATTAGAAATTTCCGGTTATGAAATACCGCGTAATCGTTCCATATTTGGAATAAGCATTTCCTTATATGGTAGGATGCTGATACTCTGTGTAATGCCGCAACATTAGGTCATGCTGTAACTTACAGGGAGTTACAGTGACAGATGTATAATAACACACAGTATGAAATGGAAGCGACAGTGTGACGTCACAAGTCAACATAAATGAACAGACAGTAAATGCAATGATTTTCTTTTTCAGTTTAAATGACAAACACGTAGTCTTTGGTCACGTGGTGGAAGGCATGGATATTGTACAAGCAATAGAAAATGTCGGGTCAGATACTGGGTGGACGCGAGCTCCGGTTGTGGTTGAAAACTGCGGGGAATTA